TAATCATCCAATCTCCTGAAAGGACAAAAGGCTGATCCTACAGCTATAAATACTCAACTATCGAACAAACTGCAGCAGAGCACAGAGAGAGTTCTGATTCCTGTCCTCTGAAGATGCCGGTCACAGAGACTGGTGAAACATTAGGAAGAAAAACCTTAAGAACATGGCCAAACAGCCCGAAAAACCTACAACAACCATCGGATCCTGACCGCAAAAGCCTTCGAGAATACATTAAACCTTTCATCACTCTCAGACTCCATGCCCCAATATCTTCTCCTTTGTCCCCCTGTGCAGGAAGTGGAAGAAAGCTGGCATTGTTTTTAGTAACTGACATATCACTGCATTGGCTTGCCACCGAACTGAAACTGTAGTGGATTATAAAGGAAAGGGGAAAGAAAAGGAAATAATAGATCCTTTCTGTCTTTACCTTTTTTTCTGTCTCTCCACCACCACCACCCCGCCCCTGTGGGGAGCAGGGGAAATCTGGATATATATCCCATCAGTGGCAAGTCAGTCAGTATATATAGACTGCATTTTAAAGAAAAGGAGAGAGAGAGAGAGACCCCCCTCCACCTCTTTTTTCCTCCCTTTCCATGAGGAGCAGAAGAAACATGGATTTTAGTTTTTAATTTATTGATAAGTGGCATATCACTTCATAGGTTTGCCAGCAAGTGAAACAGTGCTGGATTGTAAAGAAAAATATAAGGAGTGGAAGGATATCATCCTCTATGTCCCCTCCTGTCACTCCCTCTGTGGACTGAAACAGTGCTGGGTTGTAAAGAAAAATAAAAGGAGTGGAAGGAGATCATCCTGTATGTCCCCTCCTGTCACTCCCTCTGTGGAGATCAGTGGAAAGCTAGAATTCCCCTTCTTATTTATCGGTAAGAGATCTATTACTTCATAGCACTGAAACACTGGGGGAAACAGTACTGCTTTGGTTCAATATCAGTGATCATACATGCTGGAAACTGAACTAAAATGGATAAATCGTACGTGTGTGCTAAAAAATCAGTAATCCCTGCCAGGGACCTGGAAAGTTGCAAGTAGACATGGATATGGGTTGGGCTGGCTTACAACTGCCTGTACTGTACATCATACGATCACTGGAAAGTCTAGCAAACTAGCCCATTCCTCATAGTGGTCCAAAACAGAAGATAAAGGGCCATTAGATTGCACTGCTTCTCAGTAGGTAATGCTGTACCTTACTGGCTCATTCTTTGTTTAGAATATTCTTTGTACAAGCTAAGGAAGACTGCAGGAGGTTAAAGGATTACAGTTGATCACTTGGTGGGTTTGATCTCTCTGAATTAACCGCCTATTTTTTATTGCATGCAGCAAGGTGCAGCTATAATTCAGGCACACTTGGCTAGTTTGAAGGGAATGTTTTTGTGTGCAGCTCTTTGTGCCGGCCTCTGCAAACTAAGCTGTGTCCCATGATACTCTTGTATATGCCTGCTTTTGTTTAATTTCAAACTGTGGTGGAGTGTGCATTGTGGTTGTATCAGTGTTGCTGTTTTTTGTCATTGAATGCTAACTCTGGTGTCTTTCCAGTTAAGCTCTGTGTACCTTTTGTCTTTAAAAATCAATGGACAGCAGTCATTTTTTGGTTTTTTTGTTCTTGTGGTTTTTTTTTTCCTAAATTAGCTTTCAGCACTGCCTTCTTCACAAAAAGTCTTTTATGTTGGCAAATGAAGAGCAGGTTTCTGGATTGCCAGACTGGGAGACACAAAATGGCTCAGGTTCTTAGTAAATTCCAGCTGGTGGTTTGTTTGTTCTTTAATTTCTTTAGAAATTGTAAATCCCCTCCATAGCCTGTTAGGTGACGAACACAGAAGCCAGATTCTGAGCCATTTTGTTGCCTTGTTCTGTTGAATCCTGGGGTAGAAAGGTGGAGACTGTGTTTGGGGTTTTCATGGGACCGTAGGGAAGGAGTCAGCATTTGAATAGTCAGCTTTATCCTAGAAATTAGTTAATCATTTATAGATATGCAAAAGAGGGGACAAAACCAATACTAGAAGCTTGTAAGGTCTGAAAAGATTATGCAAATTATGAATATGTAAAGTGGACATGGAACATTAATATGAATAGAGCATGCTATATTCAACATTCTTTATCTTAAATTTAGAGGCTGTGACCTTGTATCTTCCCAGCCTTGATTGCTAATATCATACAGAAATAGAAATATTGTACAGTATGTGAGATGTGGAAAGCAGGGGTTTAACCATGCTTTAGAGAAGTGGTCGTCAACCCCCAGTCTGTGGCCCATTGCCGGTCCGTGGGCTTCCTGGATCTGGGCCACGGACACAGATCTCCACCCTCCTTGGTGCTGCGGAGGGGCGTGCTGTGCTTGTGGAGGGGCGTGTCATGCATGCGCTTCACCCCCATGCCCTCTTCTCAGCTAGCTGACTTGCTCGCTCCCCTCCAATCCCCAAAGTGCCAGCGTTGGCATCGCCTCCACGCCCCCCATCAGCACAGGTGCCTGCGCACCCACATCGCTGCTGGGTTTTGCCTTTTACACTTAAACCCGTGAGCACGACACACCCCTCCATGAGCACAACACACCCCTCCAGAAGCATGACATGCCCACCCGCGAGCACAGAGGTGCACCCACCCACCCCAACTGGTCCGTGCATGGACCCCACCCACCCCCCAAACTGCAGTCCCAAAAAGGTTGGGGACCACTGCTTTAGAGCATAGTTGTCATAGCAAGAGGAGTGGTACAATAGGTTTATTATATTTTGCAATCCATGGTTCATTATGACAGCTATCCTTACATGTTTTTCTGTACAGTGGTAAGGTGTTTTTTTGTTGTTGTTAAACTAAAGCCATCCTGAAATTTACCCTACTCAGTCTCCAGTGTTTACAGGAAACAGTAGAATCTGGGTTTAGCTTCCAGTTGGAGGAAGCTGTTCTAGACAAAGAGAATGAAAACTTTCTCCTGTTTAAAAAAAGAAAGAAAGAAACTACTCTTTGTATATGCTTTTATCCTTCCAAAATGGAAGGGGATTTTTCCAGGCCTCTAGTTCAAGTGCAGCACCTACCTGGTGGAATGAAAGGGTTCAATGCCTGACTTCATCCTTCCTATTATCAAAAAGATACAGATAAGAATACTGTGGTGCCTCGACTTACAAACGTCCCTACTTATGACCATTTCAAGTTACGACCAGCTACTGCCGCACAATTTTGCTTCTACTTGCGACCGGAGCTTCCACTTACGAACAGAAAAAGAGAGGGGAAAAAGGTGGGAAATTCAAATTTCTAACTGTAGGTGGCAACGAGGCTGCTTCTTTGTAGCTCTTTCGCCCCAGCAGTTAGAGAGTGTGTGTCGGAGGAGGCTTGGAACTGCCTCCTTCTGCTTTTGAGTGTGTGTGTGTGTGTGTCTGTTTGTGTGTGTCTGTTTGTGTGTGTGTCTGTGTGTGTGTTTTTGCAGGGAGGCTTCGGGCTGCCTGGTAAGGTAAGTTGCTGTTTTCTGCTTTTTAAAAACTGTTCTGGGTGTTTTTGGAGTGTGGTTTTGAGCTGGGGGTTATGTTTCTGTGCTGGGTCTTGGGGGATTGTTTGTTTTTGGTCCCCCCCATTTCCGATGGGTCTTGGGGCTTTTTGTTGCTTTTTGGAGTGTTTTTTCCCATTTCTGATGGGTCTTGGTGGGCTGTTTTTTTTTCTCTCCCCACTTCCGATAGATCTTGGGGGGTTTGGTTGCTTTTGGGGGGGGTCCCCATTTCCAATGGGTCCTGCGTGCTTCCCTTGCTTTTTTCTTTGTTTTCTTTGCATTTCCGACCTGCCCCCTTTGTTCTCTGTGCATTTCCGATCTGTTCCGTTTGTTTTCTGTGCATTTCCAATGAGTCTTGCACACTTGATTGTTTCCCCCCCTCCCCTCCCCCTCAACCGGAAGGGATTAATTGTGTTTCCAATGAGTCTTGCAGTGATTTTTTTCGGTGATTTTTTTTATTCGGCCGGAATGGATTAATTGCATTTCAGTACATTCCTATGGGAAATGGTGCTTCGACTTACGACCATTTCAAGTTACGTCCATTTTCTGGAACGGATTATGATCGTAAGTCAAGGCACCACTGTAGCTGTTGAGGCTGAACTGTCTGGCAAGCCCTTATTTAACAGTCTCTGGTTTTGCTTAAGTGCCTGTAAACAACAACTGTGTGAGAATAAATGAAGTTTGTAATATTTTAAGAAGCATTTAAATGGTATTCTGCCCCTCCCCTCCCAATTGTCTTTGATTGTTATTCATACTTAACCGTACATCTTTCCTCAGAGTTAAGAAAATGAGCTTAATTTGGCAATTGTTGTGTTGAAAGGCTGTTCTGGAGCATTCTGGGTTTTTCTGTATTGCTAGCCTCTTGATGAGCTCAGCCACACTTATCTGTGAGAGTAGTGGAGTTATTGCAGTCAAAATTACCTCTTTTTCTCTCTACCTGTACTGTGATTTTTTAAAAAATGTTCATCACAGTGATACTTTCATCTCATAATAGAGCAGTAAGCCACGACAGGGTGTACATTGCTCATTTTCTGCATGCCTCAGATACCTTCAACTGCCTGGGAGAGTTTCTGGCAGCTTCCTAATGTGCACCCTGGCATAGATTGGTGCAATTACTTTGGCTTGTTAATTTTATATTCATTTTTTTTCTTTTGGTCTTTTAATAATCATATCCGCTGTCAGAAGAGCAGAACAACATGGGGAAATATGTAGTGAAAAATACTTGCCAAGTATCTGAGCTGGCTTTTCTTTGTTCCAAATATATTTAATCCTAAAGGCCATATGCACACATACTGTATTTGCTACGGAGTCGTGGAAGCTTGTATTCATTGTGTTCTCTACTGATGTAAAATCCAGGATCAAGATTGGGAAAACTGGTCAACAAAGAAGGCAGTTGTGCCTGATGCTGATGGCTGGCAATTGCAACATTACAAACCATTTTTCTGTTATTGGAATTTTATCCCATTGTGACTTTGTAACGTAATTCTATATATATATATATATTCCTTTGCAGAGAATCAGATCCCGTCTGGCTTTCCAACCATAGATATGGGCCCACAATTGAAGGTAGTAGAGAAAGCCCGCACTGCTACAATGCTCTGTGCTGCCAGTGGCAACCCTGATCCTGAAATCTCCTGGTTTAAAGACTTCCTTCCTGTTGACACAGCTGCTAGCAATGGGAGAATCAAACAGCTCCGTTCAGGTAAAAGGTTTCTTATTTTCATCACACACACAAACCCCAAATCTTTCCCTATTTTGTAATACTTTACCTAATGTGTAATAATGTCACTCTGGCTCCAGGATGGGTTTTTGCTTCTAGGGAACTAGGTGTCCCTCTCAGAATAACAGGTTCAAAAAAGCTAAAATTTGATTTAATGAGTAGCTACCCTGTTTCCTCGAAAATAAGATAGGGTCTTATATTAATTTTTGCTCAAAAAATTCATTAGGGCTTATTTTCAGCGCGTTTTTTTTCATGTACAACAATCTTTGTTATTCAGATAATCATATCATATTATTCTGGTTGCTGCACAGTGGTGGAGGACAGGGTTTCACTTAACGTGGCTTATTTTGGGGGTAGGGGTTATATTACGAGCATCGTAAAAAATCATACTAGGGCTTATCTTCAGGTTTGGTCTTATTTTAGGGGAAACAGGGTAGTTGTTCAGTTATTAATTGGCCCAAAGACGGAGGTGATTTACTGCTTTTTGGTTTACAAAACATGCTCCATTTATTTTGTAACTGGGTACTGGAGCGGATTACCAGAAACCAATTCAATGACAAAAACTTGACAATTCTGAAGCTGAAATATAAAATTTCATGTATTGTCCCTCCTGCCATTGTGATGTAATGGTACATTGTAATAACCCATTGGACCTGAAAATACAGTATCTACGTTAAAATCCCTTATCAGTTGTGGAGTTGCTGCCTGATTTTGTGGATGACTGTAAGGTTGAGAAAGATGAATACTGTAAAGCTCTTAACACAATAAAAATATGATATATATGTCTTTAATAATTTAAACATTTTTAATCTGCCTTATTACATGAAAGTATAGTAAACATTTAAATGAGTCCATTATGTTTTCCTGAAATGCAGTCACATAGTCATAGCAAGATCTAGATTTAAAAGGTGTGTCTGATAGCATCCTGTTGAGTGTGAGAGAGGTTGTGACTAGTATATCTTGTCTTGGTCAAAGGAACAAGTATGCCCATGAGCCAGTGAGATGACTACCACCATCTCAACCTATTACTTTGTATGCCCTGCAAACACTGCAATTTATGAGCTGTAGTGGTCTTGCTTTTAGGTCGGTATGCAGCAGACTGCATAAATGAGCTTGTAATTAACCCCTTACTGACACCTGTTAGACCTCAGTCTTGCATTAGGCTCTCCCCATATAGAGCTGCAAACACTAATTACACTGATACATTTACAGTTTATGTCATTTCACAGCGACCTTTAGCTTAATCTCAAGATGCCAGCTCTGAAAGAAAATATCACCCTTGTTAATTTAACTTGAAAAGCACTACACAGCCAGCACAAGGGAAGTGTATTCATGAATTTTTGCTCTCCATTCTTACTAAAACAGTATCTGCATCTAGGAAGATTGCAGATGAGCAGGGCAACCCTTAGGCAAGTACTTGGCTCTCAACAACATTCACATCATGTGCACTCAGCGGCTGCTGCTGAGCAAGCTTGGGGGAAAAACCTGAATTTAAAAACAAAATGAATTCAACACTGCCATCACATCCAAAGTTTGTTTGGTTTAGCTTTGTTTTTTCCTCATTGCAAGCAGCGTCTTAGCCAGATTTCACTTGGAATTCCAACTCTATCATAATTTTCTCTGTTTGTGGAAGACCCTGGAATTTTTAGGGTTGGAAATCAATGGATAGCACATCTGATGCAGGCTTAAAAAATAATTGATTAGGCAGTATCGTAAACGAGGTTTGCAGACTTCCATGTGCTATTCTCAAAAGAGAGATTTACGGTCATTATTTTTAGGGAAGGGGAAAGCTTTACAAAGCAAAACTAATATATTTCACCTCCAACTTTGATGAAAACTCAATTTCAGTGAAGGTTTCTTTCAGAAGAATGTACATAAGAATATAACCATAGATTCCAGTATTATCTTCTCCTAATAAAAGTACAGTAGAGAACTTTATACATTTGGAATTCACAGGGCTCTGATGGCATGGAATAGATTGTATTGCTACTGCTCAGCTCTTCCAGCCGTGGGCCATTCCAGACTCCATTTCTCCTTTTCTGTATAGCATTTTTCTAAAACCCGAACTGCAGTATGTCTCTAGAAAATTACAGCTCTTTCCCCAGCCTGCAGAATCAATGACATTTTCAGTGCCATGTGAAATAGGATTGTATGAGTGTCCTGGGCACTTGTGAGATAGTGCCTGTGAAATCACTGATATATGCACTTAGCTCCCCCACCCCAACTGATAAAAGATTCAGCTGCCCCATATTAAATGCCTTTTTTGTAACACTTTCTAAAAACTAGTCCATTCATTTTTAAGCCACCATTGGAAGCTAAGCATTCCTGCACTCTACCATTCAAGTGCAAGAGTACCTATGCAGGCTTTGGAAAAAAAAGTGGTAATATCTTCAAGGTTGCTCCTTGCCTGCAGAACAGGGGCTAGGATAGAAGTGTATGTGAACTTTCTGTGCACTGATTCTTGTTAGGGAATTTATATATTCTAAAAATCCCAAGTTATTTCTTTATTGCAAGTCTGCCCCTCCCATAATAAAACCGCCTCTTCCTCTTCTCATCTCACACGTGGACAACACATTTCACAACTTTCACTAGACTGGGACTAACGTAGTACAGTGCTTAAGAGAAAAATAAGATTTTTAATAACATCTTGATACGGCTTTATGCATCTTCCTTGCATTTTCTGTAAAAAAAAAAGTTTTGCCAGGTCTGGATTATTAATCCCATCTCTGGCTGTATATTCCTGTATTGATTGTACAGGGCTAGATAGACAATTTGTGAACAACTGCAGCTGTAACTACTTCCCAAAATACAATAGCTATAAATGTTTGATCATAAAATACTAAACTGCCTTCAGACAAAATAAGTGCAGCAGGTTGACGAAAATGGTTAAGGTTCAGGCTGTGCACATTCAGTTTACAATTGGTTAAAGATGAATGAGGTTAAATATTTGGGATGTGAAAAGGCACACATATATGACACAATGGGAAGATCTTATCTCAGCTGTTACTGATGTTGCTTTCAAAATGCAACACAACTATGTGCAGATATGTGGTTTCCCACTTTATTACATGCTTTTCAAGCCAGTAAAAAATAGATAAGAAAAGAGAAGTAAAGTGTTTTCGCAACATTGCTCTGCCCAGTTGATCAGTTTTGTAAAGCTTCAGTGCTATTGATTTTAAAAAAATTCACAGCCCTCCTCACTTCAAGGTGCCATACTGCTATGGAGTGTAATAAAGGTGTATTAAAAGCTCATTTCACAAGACTAAAGCAGAAGATGTGGCACCAGCTACATCAGCATAGTCACTATATGGCAGAGACAGTTACATTCAACTGCAAAATCACTGTACTGTCAAAACAAAAATACAAATGTTGATTTTAAAAAAATTCACAGCCCTCCTCACTTCAAGGTGCCATACTGCTATGGAGTGTAATAAAGGTGTATTAAAAGCTCATTTCACAAGACTAAAGCAGAAGATGTGGCACCAGCTACATCAGCATAGTCACTATATGGCAGAGACAGTTACATTCAACTGCAAAATCACTGTACTGTCAAAACAAAAATACAAATGCAATAGTAGGTATAGTCACTGTATGGCAGAGACAGTTACTGTACATTCAACTGCAAAATTACTGTACTGTCAAAACAAAAATACAAATGCAATAGTAGGTACACATGTGAAAACTGAAACAAAAGATTTGACTAATTAAAGAAATCAAGAGTGCACAATTGGTAAGCTTAAAGTTAAAAGCCAAGAAGAGTTTGGTCAATTATAACTTGAGATAGAAACTGTCTGCACACGCAGCCCTTCATGCATGCAAGCCAGCAAGCAAATCAAGATGGCTTCCCAGAAAATGTGTGTGACAGAACAAGCCATGACATCAAACCACAGCTTGGAGAAAACTATGTTTAATTACTGGCGACTTCCCCAGTTGTTTTCTGTACTGTGTTAAGAGAGTGAATGTGCAGGCAAACGGCCTGCTAGTATGTCATATTCATAAGTGGATCTGTGTAAACACAGTCATATAGTACCAGATGTGTCATATTCATAAGTGGATCTGAGACTGTGTAAACACAGTCATATAGTACCAGATCCAGGAATCAGCCATCAAAATTACTCTTGATTCCTGGACCAGACATTAGTAAAAATTATACTCATAGCAAATGTGAATAATGGTAGATTATAAGTAATATCTAACCACATGTTACGTGACCAGCTGGTAGCTGAAGTCTCATGTTCATGGACAGATCAGATGTTTATTCCCAAGAATTGTATTCTGTTCCCATATAGCTTTACTGGTAATGTAACAGCCCCAGTATCAATAAAATGGCCCTACAGAAAGATGGCATCCCCTGTCCTAGAACAGAATTGCTACAGATCTGAAAGAAATAAGACCCAAGTAGACATTTATCAGCAACCCATTACTTAAATTGTCCCTGAAAGAAATTGGTTATGTCTGCTTATTAATTCAAATAGGAACCAGAAATAATTGCAAATACCTTGCAGTAATTGCAAAGTATAAAGCAAAATGCATGTTAGCCCACATTCTGTTTGCCAAACATGTTCTTATGGACAGAACATCATTAGAAATCTGACTGTGTTCCACAGTGAGTGTGTAAAGTATGGAATAGGAGGCCTTAGCCATATTAAAGCATTAAAATTGAATAGGGCTTGAAAAGGTGGCAGTAATGTGGGGTAAGCCCTTCCCCCAAGTCCTCAACTCACATAGACGGCATACAGATCTTCAAGTGCTCATTGTGGAGATCTCCAAAGGCACTGTAGGCACATTCAGCTGAATGCACTTACTGTGTTTTTGTGATTGGTATTGCTATTTAAAAAGGGGTACTAATCACTGAAATGTTGTGAACATGGTTAGCTGAACATACTTAGAAATGCCTATGCAGACCTTCGCGCTGATCACCAAAAAAGTTTCTGTGATGTGTGGGGGTGGGGATGTGTGGGCAGGGTTTACAAATATGACCC